AGGCCCTTGCAGAGGCATGAAGTTTAAAAAGAAATGTTTGGTGCCTGAACAAAGAATTAAGATGAGAGACTTCATATCTAAGTACAGCTTCCCTTTTAGGGCAGATACAAACATACAATTAGCTCAAAGCATTATTATAAACTGGAATGCTGATTAGAAAGTATTTTCACAAAGGGGTCAGGCTAGTGAAATATTTATTGTGCTTTAGAGGAAAGCACCATGAGACAGTAAACTATAATAAAGATGATGACTTATCTACATTTAGCACATTCCTTCTCTAAGGATCCCAAATGGCTTACTCAGTATAGCTACAATTTATTCAAGTGCAGAGGGCAAACACAGAATACCTTTTTTCTCTCTTTAAATCTCTATTTTGAGGGCTTACGTAGTGTATAGATCTTGATCTGACCCTCCACATAGGAATGAATTATGCCCAACATACATTAAAATTCTCATAGCTCTAAAAAGACAGGCATCTCTGGGGGGGAACCCATCAGCCAGAATGGACAACCAGTGGCAGACATGCCGCACAAGCAGTGTAGAAAGTAACTTCTCATGGATATACCTTTAAACTCCTCCAGAGTGTAGCATTAGACTGTGACAAATATACTTTAAAACAAAATCACACAGCTGTGAAATACAGATGAGCCAAAGTGCCTTCAACCCAACCTAGAGAGCTGCATCACACCAAGTGAACCGGACACAAAGATAGTGAACAAACAGTATAGAATGTCTTCTGTCTTTTGTGAAATGAAAATAAATTAGAGAGCTCTAGTGTTTCAGGTCATTGATCTCTATCTTTCCTATCTGTACCATTTATCTGAGATAGAATATAAAGGTTCCAGTTCCCTTTTTTGGCAAGCACATTAATTGTTGTTTTTTCTTTTCTTTCTTGAGGGTTTTTTCCCCCTCCTTCCATTTTCTGAATGAAAAGAGCCACTTAGACACCTGGTAAAGAAGTACTAAGCTTGTAATAAGAATATTGTTTTTCCAAGCTAGAGCAAACTACCTCAGAGTAGATTAAAAGATACTAAAGTAAAAATTAATTAGTTTATGGTCTTTTAAGAGATAATATTTTGCACATGTATATCACCTTTTAGCTAAGGGTCTCAGAGCATGTCAGAAGCATCAATTAAGCTTTAAATCTCCCCTGCTCGCTTTCATAAGATAGATAAGTATATTTAGATTAATTAGTGTTTCTGCAAGTGGTAGGCATTATTATTAGATGTAATTTAGTCTGATAATTGACTTATCTGTTTAAATGGATTCCCATACATTGAAAAAGGGATAAAATTCATCTGACTAAAAGGATTAAATTGACTCCATTCATTCTATTAACAGTTTTAATTCTCTGTTTAATAAATTAGACACGGAGGGCCAGATCCTGGTCTCTGAGTTAAGGCCCCTTTGTGCAACCCCAGAATTACACACCCGAATTATGTTGGCCATTTTGTCCACATCAGAATTTGCACTTGTCCCCTCTGTTTGGAATTTCATGTCACCATATTCACAGCTTTCTTTTACTAAGAGCAGCTCTATGGAAACTGTGCTGTGCTAATCACTGAGGCTATAGCTTTGAAACCACCACCTCACTGACTCAGACTTGATTTCACTTCTCTCCACATCTTTGCATTAAGCAATCTTCCAAGTGAAAGACTGTTCCTCATTTGGAAGATCAGAGTGTCTACTGGTATACAGAGTGAAATAATTCACTCATCTAGGTCAGGGAATAATTGCATGTATGCATGCACTCAGAAGTGATACAATAAATTCAGTGGTTGGAGGCATGCTTAGGAACACACATAGTATTTCAGCACATTTCCCCAGAGATAACGCCTACCTTCTTCTTCCAGACTTGTGCCCACAACAGTTGCCATTGCACTAACCAGCAGATTTGCACAGGGAATTTAGAACAATTAAGGCTATGGCAATGACAATTTATAACAATTAAGGATACACTTATGACAACCTGTTTGGGCTTTTTATGTAACCTGGAGGGCATAATACATGTTTGAAGTCAACTCCTGTTCTACTTCCTCAAGCACCTTTTCCAGTTTTTGTCTCAACTTTTCAGACACCCTTCCTTCCAAATTGATCTTTGGACATGAACTCCATCTCTCCCCTGTGGCTCCTGTTTACTTTCTGCGTTAACATTATTTCTTCTTTCTGTTCTAACTAGTGATGTGGAGTTAGAGGACTATCCCCTAAAATAGTAGCAACATGCCCTAAAATAGCAGTTAGTAGTAGTCCAACCTCATCAGACTCAAGATGCCACTTGTTATTCTTAAGGCACCCATCAAAAATGCCAGCTTTTAGCTCACACACATTTCTTGACCACAGAAAAATAGAGCAATTCTTCTATGGCAAAGAATCAGAAAGATGACAACAGGTCAAAATGTTTTTGACACTGTGGATTCCAGGGTGCCACAACACCCTGGTTGAGAATCGCTTCCTTAAAAATAAATAAAGATGGCATTAGGAATCAGAAGCTCCCAAATTTTAATCCTGGCTCTGATTTACAGGGCCAAATTCCTGTGAGAATACTAACACCTCCTCTAAGTCAGCACCTGGGGCTCATGCCCTGCTCTGCTTCCCTCTCCCTTCTCCTTCCTCCCTCACTAGTTATGCTACTGTCAGAAACTGAAGGGAAGAGAAGAAAAGAGCACAAGACTCCTCTGTGGACACTGACTTGGGTTAAGAGATTGCTTTTGAGTACTGGAAGATAAATATGTGTCTTTCTGTATATCTTAGGAGATTGGATGCATCTTTAAATGGCTGGTATATCTTTAAATGTTAAATTTATTGATAAGTTGGATTTGTTAATGAAGTTCTTAGGGGAACAAAAACAGCCAACTGGTGGATGAGAAGAATAGTACCTCTTTACGCTGCAATATTTAGATTTGGATCTAAAGTCAACTGTTTAGATCCAGAGATCTGGTTTAAATCTCTCTCTGGTCCGGATCAAAGGATACTCCATAATAGTGCCCCTGGGGAAAGGAGCTCCTTCAAAATAATGAATCCTGTGTCCTTTTCTTTGTAGCCAGTGCTGGCTGTAACACAGATGGTTCACCACCTCGGTGACTCTGACATCCCCCACCCCTTCATTGTCACAGCCAGCAGCACTGCATGGGCCGCATCCTGGATACTCAGGCCCCACTTATGCTTTGAGCATGCCTGTACCATGTATGATGGTGAATGGATTTCCATAACCCCCTCAGCACTACTGCAGGTGAGAGAATCAGAAGGCTGGGCAAACCAGGGAGGCTTAGTTTTAGCAGTCAGAGAAGATGGGCCAGGCTTCATCCATTTGAGGTCAGAGGGAGATTTCAGAAACTGAAGATAAGCTGAGGCTTCGAAGTGGGAGACTGCAGCATTCTCCAGAGGATGTACTCGGAGCATGATGAGAAGAAACCTGAAAAAGTACAGAGCTCCCTGCTGCCTTACAGCTTGTAGAGCTGGACATGCCCGCACAGCATAGTTTCCAAATGGGACATCAGCATCCCACTCTTCTAAAATTTATAGCTCATATTTGGGATTGTGGAGAGCTTTCAAAAGAGACCATGCATTCATGACAGAGACCAGGAAAAGGACAAAAGCAGCTGAATAGTGTTATATGAGCACCTAACTGGGATTCTCCTCTCCCATTCTCCTGAGAAATTTTGGAAAAGCAAAGCACAACATTTACAAGCATCTTCACAAAGGCTTTGTTAGGTATAATGAGATGAAGAGACTAGGGCTTTGGCCACACAGTAGGACTTGCCTCATTTCCCTGAGACTATCAGAACTATTTCTTCAAAGACACAAATGACACCTAGGTCTGAAATGATAAATCCCCTCTCCACAGGTTCCCTGTGAAAGTAAATAATTTTCTGCAAGATTCTTTCTTTGGCCCATATCACAGTCCTGTATATGACAGATTTCATGTACACGTCACACAGGCAGTGTATACTCATGAATTTCTAAAGTAATGTTCAACTGTGAGCCAGATATGGGGCAACACTAAATAAGGTGCTTCACTTTCCAGGTGGTTTTACGTTCTGCTACAGCACACTTGGTGCAACTTGGAGAAAACTACAATGCTGGGCTCACTAGACTAGCTTTTTGATCCTTTAGATCTGATCCTACAATGCTTTACTCAGAACTCCAATTTAGTCCAAGGGGAGCTGGGAATAGCACTGGGTAACTTCAAGTATCCATCCTTAAATCCCTTTCAATGATGGATGCCAAGCTGACTAAAAACATGCTAGAGAGTATAAAGGAAAAAAATTATTTTCCAAAAAGTTTTTCTATTTCAATTTCACAGCAGCATTTCTTTTATAAATCCCTGGCATAAGTTAAAATACAGGTCGCCAGCTCCAGTGCTGAGCTACAGGGAGTTCAACATTTCAGTGTGAAGAAAGCTTAGTTTGTTTCTTTCAGTTCTTTTGCTTCACACATCCCTGAGCTTCAAGTTGAGCTTGGGACTGAAAACAACCCCAAAGTAAAATTCAGCCAAAACTTGCAACATCCACTTGCTTTTAGCTTAAATATACATTTCTCCCCAGAACCTAAGATGAGGAAGAGCAATCACTCAAGTCAGCTGAGACACATTTAAAATTTGGCCCAAGGTTGCTCAGAACGTTTTCAACCTCTGAAAGTCAGGACTATAGTTCAGGTTGCAATGGCATCAAAAAATCAGCTAAGGTTGGGACTTAGTATATTTTTTTTAATTGTCTACATGTTGCTGCCAGTGAGCTACACTTCTGCAAGGTACTGAGAAATTTTTCCCCTTGAGTGGGATACAGCTGGATAAATAGATGGAGCATTCTCTGAAACATCACTGGAGGACCTAATAGCCAAATAGGCCTAATTGGATATGGCAAATTCTTCATCCCTACCCTTCAAGAATTCTTCTTTTACCATTTGGGTTTGCCTTGCATCTTTCTGTTGTTCTTATCAAAACACATTAATTTCAAACTTTTTTTTACTGGAACCTTGCTGGTCACAGTAAACATTCTTACCATATTTATCTCCATCTTCTCCTTTGGCACTGATCCTCCTGCCTAGCACTTGGATGTGTTTTCCACTTGTCCTGCTGTACAGCTGATAGAGTCTAAGCTGCTTCCTGCTTACATCATCCCTTGCTCTTGTCTGATTCTCCACATGTATCCGAAAATCCACATTCTCCTCAGCAACAAACATCTAGTAAAAGAAGGAGAAAGGAAACCTTGTGAAACAAAAACAGCATTTTATGTACAGAGTTTACAAATCCACTGGCCAAGGAGTGCAACACAGACAGTCTACTTGGGCTTGGCTTCACCGAAGCTGCTCATATTGAGTAAAGACTGTAAGATCAGGTATTCATGTTACAATTCTGGTTCTGCCCTGAAAACTGAACCTGGATTCTACAAATGAAACAGTGTCCTACCCTCTTTTTGCATTGTCACTGATAATTAATGCTTCTGCAGGCTCAGTTCTATCCTGATTTAAACCTGCACACCTTCCCGGTCTTGAAACTGTACCTCATTGACAGCTGTATAGACTCTACCACCAGTGAGCCTGTACAGGTGTCAGGTACTGGATCCGTAACTGAGATTGCAAAGAAGATTCTAAGGAAAATATACATGGAAAAATTCTGGCTCCACCCCAGGTAGTTCTGTAGGACTAATGGCAGGTAAAACTATAGGAAAAACTTATTTCTTAAATCACTCAGCTGAAGAGGTCAGACTATCTGTGCACATAGAGAAAATATGTTGAATGAGGTGTCATTTACATGTAGCTGCTTTTCAGAATAATACTTTGAACAGTTTAGCCAACTGCAAAGGAGAATAGATCCAATTCATTGCATAAGTCCTATTCCTGTGCATGTGCTTGAGCTCCCTGCTCCAGTTGGATCATAGCTGAGGAAAAGGACATTTGGACCAAAGAACAAGAGCACACCTTCCAGAATGAGCTACTGTCAGCAGGGTTCCCCTGCGCTTAGCCATTTTCCATCATATTTCTGGCTTTTGTGTTGTTGAGGAGAACTAACAAAATTTGACTGTAGTTTTAAATCTAGTCCTAGCTCCCTCCTCTAGCAGACACTTTTCAGGGGATTTCATTCCAGGATTAACATACATTTATTCCGTATATGTCAGAGGAGAAATATATTTTTGCCTGCAACAAAAAGCATCCCAGTTGTTACAAAGCAAAGGACTAAGCTACCAACAACTTTCTGAAGAAAGGACATTCTGGAGTTTCCCAAGAGGAAGTCTCACCAACCCACAACCCTGCTACTATTTCAGTCCCTGGAAATATTCCCACCTTAATTTAACATCAAATGCAAAGAAGTGAAATTAAATTGCTATCTAAAATGTATTATACCCATAGCAACATTGTTACCTTGTTTTATTTTACCTATGAGAATCTCCCACTTGGACTGTATTTTGGTAGAAAATTCTCCTCAAATGACTAATCATTCACCAGCCAAAAAACAGTGGAAGATTCTTGAACCACCAAAAAAAAAATAAATCTATGAGAGGGAATTGCTTCTTTTACTAATAGGTCCTTGCCTTCCTTCCTCGCCGTGCTCACAGCCCACAACCCCCCCACCCCGGCTGGACAGCTTGTCCCAGCCCCACCGTGACCACGACCGTGAGCTTGGCTCACCAGC